GTGTGTGTGTGTGTGTGTGTGTGTGTGTGTGTGTGTACACAATAGGACAAGAATCAGAGTCTCCATTTCACTTCCCAACATCCAAGGCTGTTACCATGGAAAGCTCACTGTGACAGCGCCATCCCTGACTGTCCACCAAGCACACCAAAGGTCATCTCCACCAAGGCTCCTGGTTAAAAGGACAGCACCTCATATCTCTTTTGACAGAGATGACAGTCATTTGCACTCATAAATTGCAACCAGCAAAGTAAAGATATTGCTGTGTTTCTCATTTGTCACGCCTAGGGCTGGCCCTCAATACCCTTTCTCCATAAGTAAGAACGAACTCATTATTTCAAAATTAAAGCACATGCACCCTCACCAAACCTCACAAGAGCTCTATCAGGAATCTAAATTTCTAGTTCTGAGGGATTCAGAACCAACAAAAGAAACAACTTATTATCCTGTTCTCCCAGGACTAAAAGGAGAACTTCACTGTCTCAAACACGGCTCCTTCACCCAGCCTCTTGGCTCTGGTTTTCCACACACAACAGTAAATCAATAAATATGGCATGCTGAGGGTTTCTAATGAACTGCTTTAATATGTACACACACATACATATGTTCAGGATTATTTTAAATTGAGTTTTACTCTACTGTAGAAACTGGTCACTCAAGAGACAGATAACAATTTATATTCTAAAAATTCTCAGGCAAGGTTTTTAAATGACTAAACTTAAGCACTGCTTATAGCAGAGCAATCATCCCTCTCCCACTCTTGCTTATAGCAGAAATTCTTAGTAGGCGGGGCCGTAGTAAAATATAAGGTCAGGTCTTAAGAAATAGTTAAATTCAACCTCACATGTCCATGGTATTAGGTAATTTTACACCCTGTCACAAACACTAATAAACAGAACCTGTCCGGTTTTCTCCAATTAAAATCATCTTCTTTTGCTAACATGCTGTGAAGGGTGATACATTCAAACTGTCACAATCTAGTTTAACAGGCAAGCTATACATAAATAATTTAACATTTTAAAGTCAAAAAAAAAAAAATCAACCATTTACAATGGGTAATCCAGTTAAATGCAAAAAACGAGAAGGTAAATTTACAAGTGGTTTTGATTAGAAGACACCCTACTCTGTTGCCCTACTATACTATTACCCAGCTGAAATGACAAGGTGAAGAAGTCTGGGGAGTTATAGGTCCCATAAGGGATACAGATTTTGTATCTTTTGAATTGCAAACCCGTTGTCATGGAGTCGATTCCGACTCACGGCGACCCTACAGACAGAGTAGAATTGCCCTATAGGGTTTCCAAGGAGCAGCTGGTGGATTCAAAACGTGGACCTTTGGGTTACCAGCCTAGCTCTTAACTGCTGAGCGACCAAGGCTTCTCCAATTGCAAAGATTCAATGAATGACAACCAATAGGGGGAGGAGCTTCAGGTGTCATTTCTCCCATTGTTTAAAACACATTAGATTGAAACCACAGATTGGGCAAAAAACAGTTCTTAAATTTTAAAACAGTAACTAGAGTTAGAATTTGAACCCCAAACCCAAGTTTTTTCCAGCATACTATGCTGCCTCTGTTCTGGCTATGAGTATACCACTCCTCCAATTGCTAAATATCCTATTCTACCTGTTTTGCTCAAAGCAGGCCTGTACAATGATTTATTGCACAGCAACTCAAGGACCCTGGGGCACTGTGTTCTTTTCTACAGAGAATTGCATGGCTTGGAATCACCAACTTGTAGTTTGAATTTGTACTAGCAGGGCTGTCTAAAAATTTCTTAAATTCTCACTTTTACTTTAATTTCTAGATCTCAGTAGCACAAGCAGTCAAGAGACTTTAAAGAAGGTGTAACTTAACACAAGCCAGAGTACAGCATCTGCTATACTGCCAAGGCTCTGCTGTTAACTAAGGCTAAGGCAAAAATTCCAGTGAAGCCACAAGCAGCAGGAAATCATTAAGTCGTTCCTAGCATATCCAAGAAAAGAAGAGAGACATTTGGCTAGAGACTTGCTGAGTGAAGCCACTGCATCCTTGTTTTGACAAAGCAGCTTCTAGAAGTGGGAGGCTGGCCTTGAGTGGGGAGGGTTGCGCAGCCATGGCACTCAGGTCTCTGCTGCTCTGCCACCGTCTTAAGGTCTACTGCCCCAGGTTCTCCACAGGCTATCACATTATTTGGAGAAAGAGGCCAGGGACCAACACTGGCACCTGCCAGGAACACGGACAGGTGGTGTGCTGGGAAGGGCATCAGAATAGCTCACCAAGAGTGCCTTATTCAAATGTGTATCAGCTCTGCTGCCATGAAGTAGACGAAACATTTCGTTGTCTACGGGTATGACTTCCAGTAACAGCCTTGTGAACATCTATTTTGTTATTTTCATCTAACATTTCTCTTTAAAATGTCCTGAAATCATCCCCAGGATATATGTGAAAATAATGAAAAGGAAAAAAAGAAAAGAAAACTTAATGCAGAATGCCATTTACCTAAGAAGATGCAGTTATAACTTCATACTCATATTTCCTCATATTAAAAAACAAAACAATGGAAGCATAAACCATAAAACTGTTTAAATAGTAAACCATGGAGAAGTGAGGGATTCTGGCGAAAGAGACAGAAGCAGCTAGACTTCTGTTTATACTCTTTTTTACATTTTGAAACAATGTAAATATCTGATATAATTACAAAAAAAATTGTGACAACAACAACAAAACAGCAATCCTTAAAAAGTAAAATGAAATAACCCTAATGATAGGTACTATTATTATCCTCCATTTCACAGAGGAGGAAACCAAAGCTTAGAAAAGTTAGGTAACCTGCTCAACATAAAGCTAGATAGGGGCCAGCTCAACAAACAGTGTTTTTATATGCCATGCAATAGAGTTTCGGTGTGCCAGGGTTAGACAAAATACCAATACGAAGTATGTCACAAGGAAGTTTATGCAGAGTACCAATGACTGAAAGAAATAAGTGCGACAAGTCCAGACAAGGGAGAGATTTCTACAGGCTGAATGGTTAAAAAGTCTCTACACAGAAGTTGGCATTGAGCTGAGCTGCAGTGGAGGGAAGTCAGAGGGAAGGACCAGATAGAGAATGTGGTGTGAGCAAAAGCATCATGAGAGGCTAATATGGTGGAAGACAGAATAGATAGGAAAACAGAGTGATTAGGATAGAAAGCAAAGTCAAGCACGTATCTGGGAGGCCAAGGGAGCCAAATGAGGAACCAAACCTCATCCCACTGGCAATTTCTTACTCATTCTGGAATTTCTGAGAATGGTGAACTTGGGATGAATCCAAGTGACTCTTGTTTATAGGCTGCTGGAATGGCCCATAAGCAAAAGGATGAGGGCTTGCATGAGTAGGTTAAGGGCAGCAGAGCATCAGAGCAATTTGGAGTCTAGGTTGTGAAATCAGGCTGATCTGGGTTCCAATCTGACTTTACTGAGCCTCTAGTTTCCTTATCTATAAAATAGGGATAACAACATCCTACTTCATTTGATTGCTGTCAGGTTTAAATAAAAGGAGATAATGGCATGAAGCACTCAAACTACACAAAGATTATATTCAGGGCTTCCTTTTCTAAACTCCCAACCACTCTTGTCCTTATCATTCATCTCAGCACTTACTCATACAATTTTGTATCAATTGTTTTATTTGATGTGTTTTTTTCCCTCTCCCATAAAACTAATCCTCTTAAGGGATGGAAAAGCATATCATTACTTCTTTGGTATTATCACAGAGATGATCACACTTAACAAGAAAAACAACTAAGAAGAGCTTTGACTATGCTCAAGAACTCAGTTCCCTAACCATCGCATTTCTTTTGCAGCATGATGTATAGCTTGGTATACTACTTGTTTTCAAACCATTTCTTAACAACAGAACCCCTTCAGCAAATAAAATCAATACATACAATTTATAAAAGCAGGTCTGCTCTAGTCAAAAAAATGAGCGTGAAGCCTGGAGTACCAATCTGACATCTGCCCCACTGTCAACTCCTGGGGGCACGTACATGGAAGCTCTAATCTATTTGGAACTAGTTTGAAAACTTATGGGGTTATATGTAGAGCACTGTCAAGAGACCCCAGCTCTGGCACTGATAACCTTACCTAAATACTCTGACCCTCCCCTCCATCTGCTCTCTAACAGCCCACAATAGCCTCGCGGATGTGTCTGCCTCCTTGGATGTGTTTCTCTGTGAATTTTTGGAACATCTAACTACCAATAAAATGACACTGCCTTAGTTTCCAGACACCACAGACCCCAAAGCAATTTCTAGTTATTACTCCCTAGACAGGAAAGTCCCAGGCTTAAAGGAAATGTCTCCAACACAGGGGGATAATCTCTTAAAACCAGAGTTTCTGGACAATGGCCACATCAAAAGTACACAACTTACTAGAACCATGTTTTCTTCCCTTTCGCTTTTAACAATTGTCAAACTTCCTGAAAGCAAAGCAAAGCTAAAATAACACATTGAGCAAGTAGAGGAGAAGCTGGGACAAAGAAGCATGCTAAGTGGCTTGCTGGAATTCTGTAAAGAACAGTAAATTAAAATATGCTTCCTTATACTCATCATCAGCCAGAAATGAAAAGTACAAAAATTCTATCAACACTAAGACCTGTCTTTTTGTTGCTAAAATAAATCCAGACAAGAGCAATGGGCTTAGTGTAGGCACATAAATCAGCAGTCAATTAGAATTTTTCAGCATTCAGCACCAACAGAAACGAGTCAGTAGGCCCAAGATAAGTGAAAACAGAAGTTGCCATAGTAACTTGCACATTTACCCTAAAAAGGCAGCAGTAGGGGTGGGGTGCGGAAGTAGGTCAATATTTCTGCTTAACTAGCTCTATTCCTTGGCTTCCTCTGCTCCTCTAAAGCAGATTCCTCCCTCACCCCATCCCAAGGAGTAAGGGGGTAAGCCAGGTGAGCTTTTCAAAAAGCAGAGGCTGGGGAAAGATCTACCTAGAAGTAAGGAGAACCAAGAGGACAGCCACATAAAAATCTCACAAGCACCCTGGGACTACCCCCAGGGAAAGCAGTTGCTGATCAAGGGTACCAGTGCTAAGAAACTGTTGCTGGGTTACTACAAATCAGAAATTGCCATTTTTCTTGTAGCAGTTTAAGTGCATCTAATGGAACACTTGGGAATGCATTATTAACAGCTTGGGGCTGGGAGTAGTGGTGGAGAGGGATGAGTACCCTAACATGGGAAAAATCTGAGGCCCTTAGCAAGAGGCATTTTTGGTTTTTTTTTTTGGATGGTTAGACACTGTGAACAGGACTAAACGATGCCCTAAAAGACAGGGAGGCTTAGGTGGTTCCTTTTCAAAACAAGTCAATTTTGGTAACATAGAAACATCACTCCCTTTGAGATTTGGGCCTGAAATGACTACAAATCCAAGAGGGCAAGGGTGGCTCTGATCTCAGAGCAGGCGTGGAGAGTGCCAGAGCTCATTATCGGCTCTTCCACCTCTGGTGGCAACAATATGGGAAGCAGGTTAAGCAGAAGGCATTGGAAACAGGTGCAACCCCTCTCTCCTGCAGCTGTTAGTGCCTGCACAGGGAGAACTTACGGTATTACTAATGATTTTAACCACTTGGTGTGAAGGCCCTGGTATTCTAGAAGGTAACAGAAAGAGAATTCTCAGGGGAGTCAAAAAAAGCAGAATCATCCCCCAAGTGTATGGCCCCCGGACTCCCTTTTAACCCAGTACTGAAGTCACTCCTGAGGTTCGCCCTTCAGCCAGAGATTAGACAGGCCCATAAAACAAAACGAGACTAAAGGGGCACACTAGCCCAGGGGCAAGGACGAGAACGCAGGGGAGGACAGGAAAGCTGGTAATGGGGAACCCAAGGTCGAGAAGGGGAGAGTGCTGACAACCAATGTCACAAAACAATATACGTATTGTTTAATGAGAAACTAATTTGCTGTGTAAACCTCATCTAAAATACAATAAAAATAAATATACAAAAAAAAGCAGAATCATCGTTTTTGTGTGTCTGTGATACAATATATACAACAAAACCTTTGCCATTTCAATCATTTTTAAGTGTACAACTCAGTGACACTACCTACATTCACCATGTTATGCAATCATCACAGAACCATCTTTTTAATCAGTGAATATTTCCAACACTGACCTTCAGATTCCCTATAGCCATTGTACAGAGGCTTCAGGGTAAAGGCCAGTCAAACATGACTGACTAACTTATTTCAACCCACAGCACTAGTCACAACAGACCAAGGGTAGAGGAAAGACACGCTCCTGTATTCAAAGACAAGGTACCATCTGCAAATCGTCCCCCTGTGCTTCTGCACATGTCTACTCCTCTGTCCTACAAGAGCAAGGACAGAGGCTCATAGATGCGGCAACATTCAAGACGTCTTTAGAGACCAAGAGCAGCCAAGACCTTGGGAAAGCAGCACCTAGAACCAGCCTACTTGAACTGAGGATCAGAGGCCTGAAGGACAAGGTACTAAACAAACAAAAAAAACCCAAACTCACTGCCGTTGAGTTGATTCCAACTCATAGTGACGCTACAGGACAGAGTAGAACTGCCCCATGGGATTTCCAAGGCTGTAATCTTTACAGAAGCAGACTGCCACATCTTCCTCCCGAGGAGTGGCTGGCTGGTGGGTTTGAATCACTGACCTTTCGGTTAGCAACTGAGCACTTAACCACTGCACCACCAGGGCTCCTTTTGACAAGGTACTAAAAAAACAAAACCAAACCCATTGCCGTTGAGTTGATTCTGACTCATAGCAACCCTACAGGAGAGAGTAGTACTGCCCCACAGGGTTTGGACAAGGTACTAGGCCTCCATAAATACTATGGGAAGAAGGAACACACGCAAAGCAACGTATGCATAAACTTGAGGCTGGAGGCTCCAGGCCTCAGAAAGTCAATCACTCTTCTGAAGATGTAAAATATGTGAGGGAATTGGGGGAACCAGGGCTTTGAACTGGTTCGCTCTGATTTGAACCTATACTGAGAATTTGCATTTCCACCCAGATATACTGAATCAGAATCTTCATTTTAACAAGATCCCCCGGTGATTCTTATATATAACAAATTTTGAGAACCACTGCTCTACTAGTTCTCAGAATTGGTCCCCAACCAGCAGCATTCGCATCGTCTGGGAACTTGTTAGAAATGCAAACAGGTGCTGTTCTATCACCACCTCTCAGCTCAGCCCATGAAATTGCTCAGTCTGGCCAGCTCAGATGCATTTTTCCTTTATATATAGCAGCACAGAGGACAAAGAGAAGTTTGTGGAACAATGACTCTATTCAATGCTAACGATTTTTTCTTTAACTTTTCAATCCAGAAAGTGTTCAAACATATACCAAGTAGAGAAAATAGGGTCATGACTCATCCACTGCTCAGCATCAAAAATGATCAATATTCTAGTGTTAATCTTAAAGAAAAAAATATAACCCTTCACTAGACTGATCCCTAAGTGTCACACATCAAAAACCCATAACCCAAAATGGCAACTTATAAATTCACCGGGAACCTCAGGAGGCAGCTACTCTTGGAAAGCAGCACTGGTGAAGGAAAATATACAGGAAACAGGCTTCAATCTCAACTCTTAGGGAACGTCCACCAGAATTGTTATATCCCCAAGGTGTTCCTACAGGTTACATTACCTGCATTTTTAATTCCTAAAAGATGCATTTCCAACTCATTTACGTTTGCCAAGCAAGGATCACTACCCCACACAAACCCACAGAGAAAGGGTCCGTGGTCACCATAGTCAGCCATCCAGAACTGTGTGTTGTTTACAGCCACTTTCTATTTGGACAGAAGCATTTGGGGCAAACTTCAGGGAAACAGGCCAGTACAAATTCAGTTCATTTATGACCTACGAAAACCCACCATGTGCTGACATTTGGAGAAGCCCAAGCAAGGTTTCTACTTACTGGTACTGTTACATCATTATAAAAACTCCATGCTAAAGCCCATCTCATTGTCCGACCTTGACAGAACTCAGTGAAGGTGACTTTAGGAACCTGAAACCGACAAACATAGCATCTCATCAAACTGAAGTTATTCTAACAAATATGTTCCTGGCTGCTGCTTCATATTAAATTATGTGTTGGTTCTGCTTTTGATCAGTTAAGAAACACTACTATCCAAAAAGCAGCTATGCATAGCTGCTTAATAATCAATGACAAAATTATCTTTCAACAAAGCTGTATTTTTTTTTTCCTCCCATAAAACACTACAGAGAATTTACATCTGGCTCAAATGTCCAACCAAATATGAAACACCCAAAACACAGCTCTTCAGAAAACGATTTGTAAAATGATTCAAGTGGCTTTTCATTTTCTTTTTTAAGACAGAGAGTCAACCAAAGCTGGTTAGAAATAGCTATGTAGTGTCCATTCTGTCATCAGACTTGAGTAGAAAAAAAGTAACCACTTTGTTGTTTTTACAATTATAAACAGAGAAAGGGTATGGGCAAAACAGGATCAGTAGAATGTCAGAGAGAAAGCACACATCAGAATACTTGGTTTCTACCACTGACTCCACATCTCACCCTTTTCCCTAAGAAGTTATCTTACTCCTACTAAAACACCATAAAACTGGAGGGGGCGCGGGGTAGGGAAGGACTTATTTGCTACCTGCCTTTCAAAACAGTAGTGAGGGACTGGACTTGTGTGGACTGTCGCCATGGTGACAAGCACACTAGACTCAGGCTGCATTTGGATGCTAGCTGTTCTTCGAAAATTATGTGACCCTTATGTGTCCTGACTGTTTAATGAGAAATTATTAGGTCTGTAAACCCTCACCTAAAGTACAATTAAAAAAAAGAAAGTTGTGTGACCCGGAACAAGCCCTTTAACTTATCTGGCCTCCAGTTTCCGCATCTATAAAAGAATTAGATGTGGGGGTCAAAGGAAGACACCAAGATTTCTGACTTGTCATTTCTCTCTGACATTCTACTACTGTATAATAATCTATAAAAAGTCTCTTCTAGCACTAAAACTACACACACATACATACATTTAGAGTTTCAGGAAAATTCTATACTCAAACTACCATCAAAAATAGATCCACCAAACATTAACGACAAAGCCTTACCCCTTGTACGCGAAGCTCTTCCTTCAGAGGAGCCAGACTGCATTTCTTTCCTAGCATACAGCTATACCACCTAGGAAGAAATCAGACAAGTAAAACGCTGCTTATATGGTTACATTTTAAAACTAAGTAATACTCAAGGGATAAAGATGTGAACAACAGCAAACAAACACTGAGTAAAGTTACAAGTAACAATAACAAAAACTGCATATAATGTATTTAAAGAAAGACCAGCTCTAGTGGTGGAAAACAAGTCCAAAGCAACTTAAAAAAACAAAAACCCACTTAGAGCTCTCCAGTGCTTCAGGGCAGTATGTATTTGGAAAGAAAGGGAAAAAGAGATAGGGCTCACCTATAACATTCTGAACAAAGACTATTTAGCTCTAGGATAGAAATTGGTCAATAATATAAAAACATGCATAAACACCCCTCACACCATGAGAACTTATAAGATCCAGCATGAACCTGTATTTCTGAGATATCCTCACCTGCAAGTAATTTTAAGAGTATATATTGCATTAGAATTTCAACAGACTATGATATCAATTTGTTCCATACCAAACCCAATGCTGTCGAGTTGATTCCAACTCACAGCAACCCTACAGGAGAGAGTAGAACTGCCCCATAGGGTTTCCAAGGAGTGGCTGGTAGATTCGCCGTTTTGGTTAGCAACTGAGCTCTTAACCATTGCTCCACCAGGTCTTCATTTGTTCCATATTACATACAAATCCAGAAAGGCAAGTGTGGAGAAAATGGAGTGAATCAGTTAAAAGGTAAAAGTATAGAATTTATTTCTTCCAATTATTCTAAAAAGGTTGCAGAGTATACAAATTTATACAGGACTTCTGCTTCAGCCCATCAAGGCCTAACTACTATAGGAATTGTCCTACCACCATAAACAGCTAGGAAACTACACAAAGTATATGCAACAATTGTTTTTAGACACTGAAAAACTGGCAGTGCAAGCCTATGATTGCTGAGAAAGAGGAAAAGACAAGGTTAGCCCTACAATTGCCAGGGCTTACTGCCTGAAGGCAATTTCCAGGCTGCAGTGCAGGAAAGGGAAATCCAAACAGAGCCAGGGAGTCTTGGTGAACTGATGAGACAGACAGGCTGAGGCAGTTAGAATTTGCAGAGCAAAATGGCAGAGAGGAATGAGCTGCACAGAAAGAGAACTCTGGGGATCTGCAGAGAGGTTCTGTGGAATATTTGGCTGAATAATGATCTGCACATGTGTGGGGTGTAACTCCATAAGGCTAAGGAAAGAACCCCAGAAAGCAGTAGGCCAAATAATTCCTCAAGCCCAGAGAGAGTTGGGAATAGTTTGTGGTTTTACTAACCAGAGCAGAAAGGCTAGACTTTCTAGATGTACCTTAACAAAGCTTAAAAGCAAGCCTCGAAAGGATCAAACTGATCCTAACTAACTTAAGTAAGTGCCAGAACAAAGCCCATCACTATGATATGTTTCCAAGTTATTCCACCACTCTTAACAAAACTCACCCTAGGGGCAGTGGTGGTTCAGTGGCAGAATTCTCTTCTTCCATTTAGGAGACCTGGGTTTGATTCCCAGCGAATACACCTCAAGCACAATCACCACCCATTTGTCACTAGAGGCTTCCATGTCACTATGATGCTGAATAGGTTTCAGCAGAGCTTCCAAACTAACACAGACTAAGAAGACTGACCTGGCAATCTACTTCCAAAAAATCAGCTAATGAAAAACCCTTATGAATCACAGTGGTCCAATCCCTTTGTGCATGGGGTCACCATGAATTGGGGACCAACTGGACAGCAGCTAACAACAACAGTGCTCCCTAAGCAAAGACTTCCCCTTTTCCCCTTCCTCCCACCCTTGATAACCACCAGTAAACTTTGCTCTCAATATATTTGCCTATTTCATGTGAGTGGGATCATAAAATATTTATCCTTTTATGACTGACTTATTTCACTCAGCATTATGTTTTCAAGATTCATCCATGTTGCAGCATGTATAGACTCCATTTCTCTTTCTGACTGAGTCTGGCAACTTCTTAAAAAGTTAAACATATACTTACCACAGGATTTAACAATCCTACTCTTAGGTATTTACTCAAAATAGGCAAAAACATGTCCACATAAAGATTTGTATGTAAATGTTCATAGCAGTTTTATTCATACTAACCAAAACCTGCAAATGACCAAGATTCCCATCACCTGGTGATGGATTAACCAATTGTGATATATCCATAAATGGCATACTATTTAGCAATAAAAAGGGACAAAACTACTGATACAAAGTGTGGTTATATGACATGAAAGAAGCCATACACAAAAAACTATATTTTGTATAATTCTATTTATATGAAAGTCTAGAAAAGGCAAAACTATTGTGGCAGAAGGTAGATCAGTGAACACTAGAGGCTGAGAGTAAAGAAGCCCTGGTGGCACAGTGGTTAAGTGCTCAGCTGCTATCTGAAAGGTCAATGGCTGGAACCCGCTTGCCGCTCCGCACGAGAAAGATGTGGCACTCTGCTTCTGTAAAGGTTACAGCAGTTCTACTATGGGGCAGTTCTACTCTGCCCTCTAGGGTCGCTATGAGTCAGAACTGACTGGATGACAACAGGTTTGAGAGGCTGGGAGGAGGGTGGGGATAAGACTACAAGGGGTACTAGGGAACTCTTTAAAACCGGCTGCTGCTGAGACAACTCCAAATCATGGCAACCTCATGTGTGTCAGAGAACAGTGTTCCATAGAATTTTCAATGGCTGATTTTTCAGAAGTAGATAGCCAGGCCTTTCTTCCGAGGTTTCTCTGGGTGAACTCGAACTTCCAACCCTTTAGTTAGCAGCCGAGAACTCTTTACAGTGATAGAAATGTTCTATATCTTGATTGTGTTGGTAGTAACATGTACATATTTACCAAAACTCATCCAACTGTACACTTCAAATTAGAGAATTTTACTGTATACAAATTATACCTCAGTAAAATGAATTTGAATACATAAATTTATAAATGTGATGTATCTTACACCTTCAAAAAGTACAAAAAACAATTAACATTATATTAATGTCTTTCATATTTCTTTCCTGTTTTATAATATAGCTTAGTCACACTAGCAATTCGTATTCTGTATCCTGCTTTTTTCATTAACCATCATAATCATTTCCATGTCATTCAAAATTCATCTAACTGTATATTATTTTTAAAGAGAATTTTCAGATTAAGGGGATAAGCATTCAACATTTGTTTACGTACGAAATAGGTATTATAAAGGTAAATTCTAAAGTGACTAAAATTCTAAGAGAATTTGAGCCTCTAAAATCACAAACTAAGTTAAAATGACATAAAATTGCAATTTTTATAAGTTGAAAACTATTTAATACTGATAGTTTCATAAGGTTCAACCTAATACATCAAATAATGTAAACGAAGATCTTTGCTAATCTTTACAGTATGACAAATATTATCTATTGCTTCAGAAATAGTGGGCATCAACAAATGTCTCCTTTGCCTTCACTGTGGGCTCAACAACAGGTGACTGTTCATTTGTTCAACTAATTCTTTTTCTCTCTGAAAATGCAAAGAAAAACAACCGTCCTACATAAACAACTTCAAGGAGCCCTGGTGGTGCAATGCTGAAGCTTCCGGCAGCTAACCAAAAGACCTGGCGATCTGCTCCCGTAAAGATTATAGCCTAGGAAACCCTAATGGGGCAGTTCTGTTCTGTCACAGAGGGTCACTATGAGTCAGAATTGACTAGATGGCACACAACAACAACAAACTAAACAAACCTGGGTAGATTTATTTAAGCATAATCAATTTCACTCAGTGTCTTTAAAATGTTTAGAAGAAAAATAACAGGCTCTTTTTAAGAAGACAGTTTATCAATGGAGAAATCATCAACCAGGAATGAAAAGCTTTGGGTATGTTAGGAGCAACACGAAGGAAGAGAAATTAACAGCAATTAGTGCTCACATAGTAACAGAATAAAATAGGTTAATTAACATCTTTCCTTTAAAATTAGCATTGCTGAATAGATCAGAGCCATCAGAAGCCAAGAAATGGCCTAGAGCAAAGACAAAACGAAGACAGAATAGGGCTTCTTCAGGGGAAAAGGAAAGCAAATATTTAGACAAGCAAAGCTCGTAACAGTTAAATAAGCTATTGGTACTTAATACAGGCTTGGGAGAGTTCATGTTTCTTTTAACTCCTGCTCTAAACTGAATATTGTATTGTTAATCTTTTAAGATTTAATCTTACCAATATACTTACTGTTTTCTTCAACAGTTCCATTTCTTATAGAAAAAGCAGAGCTACTACATGTATTAAAAATCCTGTTTTAGCTTCATGTGAAAAAATGCCTACCCACTAGACCCTAGCTACTCTCAACAGGCATCTTCTAACAACTGATCAAAGTGAAAGAAAAAAACGAACAAAAGGAAGATCTGGCGCCCAAGAGACTCTGAACCCATTATACTATTTTAATGATGAAAATAGCACTCTACTCATTACAGCATTTAGTAATTCCTCTGAGACAGCAGGTTTCAAGAAAAATTATTTTGAAATAAGTTCACATCTCCAGAAAAGTTTCAAGATTACTACAAATGTCTCCAGTACACCCTTCACCCAGATTCACCAATTAACATTTTCCCCTATTTGCTTGCTCAGTGTGTTTGTATTTTTTCTGACCCATCTGACAGCTGACTGTAGGTATTATAATGCCCCCTTAACCTTAAATGGGAAACCCTGGTGGCATAGTGGTTAAGAGCTATGGCTGCTATACAAAAGGTCGGCAGTTCGAATCTACCAGGCACTCCTTGGAAACTCTATGGGGCAGTTCTACTCTATCCTGTAGCGTTGAGAGTTGGAATTGACTTGATGGCAAAGGGTTTGGTTTTTTTTTTTTTTTTTGGTTTTAACCTTAAATATTTCAACATGTACATTTTCAAAACAAGGACGTTCTCTTTCATAATCACAGAACAATTATCAAATTAAGAAAATTTAACAATGATAAAATACTGTTATCTGAAATACAGTCCATAGTCAAATGCTACCAGTTATCCTAATAATGTCCTTCAATTTTTTCACCTGATGGAAGACCCAAGTTACAATCATACATTTCATTTTCTTATCATGTCTCTTTAGTCTCCCTCAATCTGGAACAGCTCCTCAGTCTTTCCTTACTTTGATTACCATGACATTTTTAAAGAACTGTTTTATAAAATCCCTCAATTTGGTTTGTCCAAAGTTTCCTCATGGCCAGAGTCAAGTTATACATTCCAGGTGCATCACATCAGGAGATGATCACTGAGTCAAAATGGTGTCCCCAGGTCTCTCCATTCTAAAGTTACCATATTTATCTTTGTAATAAGGAATCTGGGAGAGATACTTTCAAACTATGTAAATATCCTGTTCTTCAAATTTTCCATTGAAAATTCTTGCATGAATCAGTTATTACCATGATGATTACAAGATGATGATTTTTTTTTTAACTCTATTATTCCTTCTAAGGAGTCCTTGGGTGACGCAAAGGGTTAAGCACTTGATTACTAGCTGAAAGGTCGGTGGTTTGAATCCACCTAGAGGTGCCTGAGAAGACAGGCCCGGGAATATGCTTCCAAAAGTCACAGCCTTGAAAATCCTATGGAGCAGTTCTACTCTGCACACATGGGGTCACCGTGAGTTGAAATCGACTGGATGGCAACTAATAATAATTATTCTTTCTACATTTATTAGTTGGCATTCCACTGTAAGGAAGACCTTTTCCTCTATCCCCTTTATTTCATTTATTTACTTTATTCAATGGAGTTATAATCCATTGTTGTCATTATTCATTTTGAAGCTCAGATTGCCCCAGACTGGGCCCAGGGGGAGCCCTTCAAGCTGCCTCCTATGTCCTTTAGACAAATCATTTTTTGAGCACTTTCTTACTTTCTGGTATTACAAGCTAGTCCAGGATCATCCTATACTCATCCTGACCCAGCCCTGGAATCAACCACTCCTACAAGGGGCCCTGGTTGTTTTTAGTGGGGAATGGTTATTTAGAAATAACCATTTTTTCTTATATCAAAACCTTAAACTGAAGTATAATATAAAAACCCGTTGCCATTGAGTCGATTCCAACTCACAGCAACCCTATAGCACAGACTAGAACTGTCCCACAGGGTTTCCAAGAAGCAGCTGGTGGATTAGAACTGCCGACCTTTTGGTTAGTAGCCAAACGCTTAACCACTGTGCCACCAGGGCCCCATTTTTTCTTAAATCTAAACCTTAAACTGAAGTGTAATATAGAAAAACAGATAAAAGCAGAGGTTTGGGAGTGTCTGGGGTGTTAACCTACTCTAAAAATGCCTATGTTAATTAAATTACCAGAATAAATGCCCCCAGATATTCACCAGACCAGCCCTAGTGTCTGCCTAATCTTAATATCTGAATGTAAATTATCATAAATTCCAAATCTACATGGCTAAAAATAATTTTTATCCTATGTTCTTATAAAAAAACAAAAAAAACCATTGCCATCGAGTCAATTGACTCATAACAACCCTGTAGAACAGAGCAGAACTGCCCCATAGGGTTTCCAAGGAGCGGCTGGTGGATTTGAACTGACAACCTTTTGGTTAGCAGCTGAACGCTTTACCACTGTGCCACCAGGGATCCAGTCTCTTATTAAGTGATTTTATTTATTCATACACAGTTGTACATGTGTAAGAAACAGTACACTGTAACAAACTTTTCCAAGGCAGTTGGACCAAGGCTTTTAATTCCTCGGTATTGTTAAAAGACTGTCTGATGTACACAAAATACAAGCTTGTTGATTTTTAACAACTGTCCTCTTTGACCACCTAAAGCAGAACCACCCATGACTACTTCCTGTAGATGACAATACCATAAAATTTTATACAGCTAGCCTGTCATGGCATGAGCCACTGGATCCAACCTTTTCTCCCTGAGTCCGTGAAGCAGTCACAGTGAGTGAAGCTTTGCCATATCAGACCTCAAAGGGAGTTAAACTAAGCATGACACCTAAGTTAAGCTGATGAAAAGCACAGAACTTAATTCATTTAAAAAACAAAGCAGCCCCTTTTCTTTCAGGTGGCTTGATCCCCTTACCATTCACTCTTCTTCCTATTCTGGTAGGAAGGAAAAATCAAAATAGCAGCATCTCCCTCCTGTGGTGCTCACTACTGGGAAATGCTCCTTCAGGTTTTAACTGCAAAAATGCTGCTCTACCTGGAGAACAAGCTTGTATACCATCTGTCCCCCAATAAATCTCTACCTGCTATATATATCTGTGCAGATGGCTGAAGTATATTTCTTTCTAATGATACTCAAAAAAACCCATTTAGAGATCCACACCCTACTTAGGGTCCCAATCAAAGATGAAACCAGAGGTTAAAAATTGTCAAAAAACACCAGACTTACTAGCCTGACAGAGACTGGAGAAACCCCAGGAGTATGGCACCCAGACACCCTTTTAGCTCAGTAATGAAGTCACTTCCAAGGTTCACCCTTCAGCCAAAGATTAGACAGCTTCATAAAACGAAACGAGTCTAATAGGGCATACTAGCCCAGGGGCAAGGACTAGAAGGCAGGAGGGGACAGGAAAGCTGGAATAGGGGACAGGAAAGCTGGAAATAGGGAACCCAAGGTCGAGAAGCGAGACTGTTGATATGTTGTGGGGTTGTTAACCAATATCATAAAACGTATGTGTACTAACTGTTTAATGAGAAACTACTCTGTAAACCTTCATCTAAAGTACAATAAAAAAAAAAAAAGTAAGTTAAGTAATCACGGTAGGATGTGAAACTGAACAAGATTTGTAAGCAAAAATTGTTTTCCAGAAAACATTGTTCTGTTCTCTTCTCAGTAATAATCAGACAAGATTGCTGATCCCTGTTTTTATATAAATCATAACTGGGTAATATTTCCCATATATAATATCAAGCTCAAAATGGTCAACTCTCTAGAGATAGGATGGGCTCTAGCAAACACACATATACACAATTTAACAAATCCTTCCTAGCAGACTTAACCCCTTTCATTCAATGTGGGGGTTACCCTGCCATGCAGTCTTGGAACATACCGAGCCAATCTCTATTCCGTAGAATTGGGTTCCTCTAAAACATATTTTGTAGTTCAAATGGAACTTTGGAAATAATAAAAACAGTCAGTAATGTAAGTTAAAAAGCCTCCTAGAAACAACCACAAGTGTACGATAACCTGGGAGAGTCATCTATAGAGAGACAGTTCTCCGTTTTCTTGGTGAACTCCAGTCCCCTCAAAATCCGAAGTGGCCAAATGGCCCTGGCTACTTTTTTCATGTGTTTCAGCGTTCTGTTCCCTTCTTTAAGTTTACTTACTCAGACTTTCATCAATGCTCAGTATAACTTAACTCTCTTTCTTCTCCAATACATTCTAATGTATCTTTGAAGACATCAATTTAAAGCAAAAATTTATTGACCTTTGGCTTCAATGATGTGTAATTTTTCTGAGAGGCAGATCATCCAATAATCAACTTGCTTTCCACAAATATTTATACACACACACATATTTAATAAATGAGGATACTCTGTTGATTCTGGAATCGGCCTTTTACTAAGATAAGCACCTTTGTTGTTGTTGTGTGGTGTTGAGTCGATTCCAACTTACAGTGACCCTATAGGACAGAGTAGAACTGCCCCATCGGGTTTCCTAGGCCATAATATTTACAAGAGCAGATTGCCAACCCTTTCCTCCCACAGAGCAGCTGGTAGGTTCAAACTGCCAACCTTTTGGTTAGCAGCTGGGCACTTAACCATTGCACCACCAGGGCTCCTCTTAAGCAGCTTTAAACATCTATAAATCCAAAAGGAAAACAAATCTTCCCTACGTCCCAAAGCTAAATCCTAGGGTTGAAAGTCCCTTTAGTTTTGAACTACCACGTTATCCATCACTTCAACAACACGTGGCAGGATGGGAAGTCAAGCGAGACAAACAGCTCTTTTTGAGAACCTTATGCAGCTTAATGACAGGTGTGCTGTCTGAAATAATTAGCTTTTAAAAAGGAATAGCCTTAACCCTCCTACAGAACTGGTTAGTGAACTCAGTTTCCTTTCATTATGTTTGTGACAGCTCAATGTCCTCACATCTGTCACTGTTTGGGAGACTGATTCCAAGAACAAAAATTGCTGCAAGGACTAGGCAACAAATTTATTCTGGTTCATGGGACAGATCTGAACCCATCTGTTTTCTAATCAAAAGCCATATTTGAATCAGTTTTGTTCCATCACAGTACCATACTAATGGGACCAATACAATCATATGGTGTTTTTCTCCTTCCGACCCACGTAGTACAATGATTGGAGGGAACACAAATCAGTTAACAGCATGAGAGAAGCCTCAGAAACAGGGTCTTTGCAGACTGTAGGTTCTGCTACCCTTTCCATCTTTAATCTGTTTATTCTTCAGACCATTATGGTTCCTTTTCCTTTGAGTGATGGTTTCCTCTGCAATTACACAGGGGAAAAGAAGGGGAGGGAATATTCCCATGCTGTACTAAGCAGCTTACCTTAATCTTTTTTTAAGTTGCAAACTGTCATGGATGATCCTTTTGACAAACTCTAATTCACCTCCTTCTGCCATGATCTCTGTGATACCTCCGGTGTTTACAGAACTAGGTGGAGGTCTTCGAGGATTCCGAGAGTTTACTCCCTGAGCAACAAAAAAACTCTGGTGAAAAATGTGTACACCTTAAGAATCAAGTCTTTGAATGTAATCTAGCTACAAGTAAGAGTGTTAACATGTAATTTTACTTCCCAAATACTATACTAGATTTAGGATTTAAAAGTCACATGGCCCCTGCAATATTATACAAAAACAACCCAAAGATCAGGTCAGAGCCAAGACAAACTGGAAAAATAGAGCCTCAGACTTGATAATACTGTGAATTTCTTGATCAAATTGTTCCTGAAGTCCATGCTAATGCTCGGTTTCTCACATATGTGAGCCAATACTTTTCCCTTTGTTGTTAAGTCAATCAGAATTATGTTTTCAGGTACTTGAAACCAAAAGCATGCTAACTGATACAGCTTCTAAATAAAAGTTACTCTTTGCTCTTCTCTCTGCAAGGCAAACTTAAATATTCAGTTACTTTAAAGCAGAACACATTTTACCTTGGCTTCCAACTGGTTGGCAAAAAAGGGAGGGTTGCACATGCAAAAATCATAGATTATCTCAGATTCTTCTTTAAGAGCATCCATCAGGAGTGTCTTCTGGGGTACTTTTACCACTGGGGGGAAAAAAAGGAACAACTGTTAACTATTACAATGCTGTGGTAGTTTTAAAATACGTGCACAAATTCTTTGACACTCTTCCACTCAATAGGTAAGAGCTTAATTTCCCTCTCCTTGAGTGTACACTAGACTTAGTGACTCACTTCTATAAAACAGAATATGATGGAAGTGACAGGGTGTCACTTTTGAAGCTAAGTGATAGAAGGCATTGTGGCTTCCTCCTTGCTTTATCTCTTGGATGACTTGCTCTAGGGGAAGCCAGCTGACATGTTGCAAGGACACTCCAGCAGTCCCATGGAGAGATCCATGTGCCAGTGAACTCAAGCTTCCTACCAACAGTCTTGGGAGCCATCTTGGTAGCAAATCTTTATCCCCAGTCAAGCCTTCAGATAACTGCAGCTCGAGCTGACGTCCTGACTGCAACCTCATGAGAGACTCTGAATCAGAACCACCAAGCTAAGCCATGTCCCAATTCCTGACCCATAAAAACTATAATATACGCTTATTGTTTAAAGCTGCTAAATTTTAGAGTAATTTGTTACACAGCATTAGATAACTAAAATACATGCATTAACAATGTCAGCATCTCCCCTTACAATGATATGTGTAACACTACTAACAAGAAAAAAAAACCAAACCCACTGCCATCGAGTCAATTCCAATTCATAGCGACCCAATAGGACAGGGTAGAACTGCCCCATAGGGTTTCCGAGGAGCACTGGTGGGCTCCTTAACACTACTAAGGAGACTTTAAAAAAAAAAAAAAAAAGCCTATTTCTTTCTTAAAGAGACAGAATGCCTCTTTAAAAGGAGAAAAAAAAAATTAACAGCCTTTTATACATATTAATAAGCACAAAGATAAAATTAACTGATCACTAAGAAGATTTGACTAATTCTAGCACAATTACATGTACTGAAGTAAAAAAGATAGTATAGCTTAATCAATAGTAGGACTTTTTTCCTTTTAAAATCTTGACTAGGTAACTTTATATATTTACCATATTTCTTTCTAATTCTGGTATCAAAACAGCAACCCCAATTACAGTATACCAGGTTTTTAAAAATCAAAGTTTGTGTATTAAAGCAAAAGATAATTAATAATGAAGTTTGTTAAATTAAATTATAAAGACAGCTTAACAGACAAAGCTTGAAAAGGATATTTATTCTGTGGAGCTAACCTTTTATGAGATCAGATAAATTATTCTGTTCCACATTTTTCTTTGCATAGTTGAAGCATATATCATCTACTTCCGTTGCAAGGAAATACCAGCCATTTAAGGTCGCTCCAAGTAAAGGATAGATGCAAGATGCCCCGGTACCTGATAAAACGAGAGTTCAAAACTCATTCCACACACCAGAGAGAGATCATGAGAATAATCATCAGAATTCTTGTAACCTTAACAGTTTAGTAGATCACAGGCTGGTGACTGATTACATACATACTGTGGCTACAGGCTGCTCTGATCATTCCCTTAGTCTTACCTCCTAGTTAGACTCAAGCTTCCTAGAGGAGAGACACCTTGCTTTTTTCTTTTTTGTGTATTGTGTATCAAGTGAAGGGTATATAATTAGTGGTCAAGGAATACATGACTGATTAAGTAAAAATGGTCAAAACTCAATTTAATTGATATAAAAAGGCTCCATTTTAAATCTTACACAAAACTCCATTTTTCTAAAGGAGATCAATGCCATTAAAACACCAAAGTAGTATCTTAAAACAGATCAATATATATCCTATCCTCCAAAGTCAGAAAAAAACACACAGCATATAAAAGTTTTATAATATTAAACTGCCAAATTCCCCAATTTCTTTAAGTTGTCACCTGAAGGAAACCAGAAGTAAAAATAAAACTAAAGAGAGAACATATTTCTCAGATGTGGAGAGATGGAAAAATATTTGATTCAGATCCAAAACACCAGAAATCATTGGCTTGCTCCACCATAATTTCAAGGGAAATATTCAGAGGTAAACACTCCAGGCAAAAACCACTCTTTGACAACTTGAGTTTGGTCTTAAACTTATATGTAGAACCCCTTAGCCCTGGACTGGACTATCCACAAATATTACTTTTACAACCATTGACTAATCTTGGCTAATGAGATACTAAAGTGTATATTCAAGAGAAGGAAAGCCAGTATTTCTTCCCAAGGCCCACAGTAGCCAGCCTATCATCAGCCACTCCAGGGCTGTTTTTGCCTGGACCACATCCTGGTTCCCTGCTAGCCATTCTGGTAAGCCAGAGTTATTCAGGACAGGAACATTTAAGTAGCACTCTCAGTTCTGTAGGAACAAATATCTAAACCAGATCCCAGGCCCGTTATTCTCACACAACTGCTTCTCTATACTTCAATTTCGTTTAAAAGCAAAAAGAAGAAAAAGAAGGAAGAGGAAAAGTACTCTTTCCTTCAGCCATCCAAAGATCAGATGCCTCCAGAATAATAAATGCAAGTAAAATACTCCCATCCCTCCTCCCCAAAAACGTCAAATTTCTCAACTCCCAAGACCAAAAGACTTGCAATCTAACATTCTAATAACACTCAGAAAGCTGAATGACATTTTTAAGTGGCTAATAATCTTTGTAATGATAAATAAAAATGGAAAGTATATAATCATAGAATTGGAGCAAACTGATGGAGTCTGGGGGAAAATATATATATATAATCCTAATTAGAATGGATATGATTTCAGCAAGGAGTACCCCTTGTGAAGAGCTAAAATTCATTAACCTCCTACACCCCCAAGTGTTATTTTAGAGGGTTTGGGGCATAATGAAAATCAAATCAGTACCAAACAGGCTCTCATGCTTCTGAAGCTTTTCTATAACCCATCAGCCAGTCTTCTGCCATAAACATAAAAAGGCAGGAGTTTTGCTAAACTCCATTATTTTATGTAATGCTTACCTCACACAGGGTGCTCAAAATTTTAAATGTTCAAAAAATAATGTATTTATCCATCAACATTCAACAAATTAAATTACTGGACGCCTACTATATGCCAGAAATGCTAGGCCTTGGGATACTACAGTAAGCAAACAATAACAACAAAAAATCACAGGCTCTGCACTTTGAAATCTAGTGGCAAACACAGATATTAATCAAATAATCACACAAATGAATGTAATATAGAAACTAAAATAAATGTCATGAAATAAAAAACATCGTTTTCTGAAAGCTTATAAGCAAGGAACTTGGCTTATACTGGAGAAGCTTTCCTGAGAAAATAAGGCTTAAGTTGACAACTAAAGAATAAATGAGAAACACAGGGTGAAGGTGGGGAAGTTCCAGATAGAAGGAACATGTACAAAGGCTTGGTGTCATATGCATTATCAGAAGAACTAAAAGACAAGTGCAGAAAACAAGGAGAGAATCATGTAAGATGAGGCCTACAGAGGAGAACACGATGAGGCCATGAAGATTCTAAAGGCTACGTCAAGGGTTTCAGTGTTCATCATAAAAACAATGGGAAGCCATTAAAATGGTGAAGGTATGATCAGATAGGAGTTTTATATATTCTTTCTGGACACAGTGTAGAGAATGGAATGGAGGGGCAACAGAGTGGTAGAGAGAAGACGAGTTGAGAAGCTATTCTGTGACCAGGAGAGAGATGTTGGTGACTTGGATTAGAATGGTGACAGTGTAGACAGAGAGAAACAGATGATTTAAGAAACATTTAAGAGTGAAAATCAATAGGAAATGATGACAGACAAGACACTGAGAATGGGAGAAGTAAATATCAAGGACGACTGCCGGGTTTCTGCTTGCATAGCTGGGTAGATTGTGGTGGTTGTCAGGTGCCGTCAAGTCAGCTCCAACTCATAGTGATCCTACGTACAACAGAACAAAACACTGCCTGGTCCTCCACCATCCTCATAATCATTGTTATGCTTGAGCTCACTGCTGCAGCCACTGTGTCAATCCATCTCATTGAGGGTCTTCCTCTTTTCTGACCCTTTACCAAGCATGATGTCCTTCTCCAGGGACCGATTCCTCCTGATAACATATTCAAAGTATGTGAGACGTAGTCTCGCCATCCATGCTTCTAAGGAGCTTTCTGTCTGTATTTCTTCCAAGACAGAAAAGCGTCAATTTTTCTTCGGTCTTCCTTACTCTTTGTCCAGTTTTCGCATGCATATAAGGTGACTGAAAACACCATGGCTTGCCTCAGGCGCACCTTAATCTTCAAGGTGACATCTTTGCTTTTTAACACCTTAAAGAGGTCTTTTGCAGCAGATTTGCCCAATGCAATGTGTGGTCTGATTTCTTGACTGCTGCTTTCATAGGTGTTGATTGTGGATTCAAGTAAAATGAAATCCTTGACAACTTCAGTGAACTGAGATGTTTTTGAGATATCCAAGTTCCTCAGATATATGGGAACAAAGCTTAAGAAAAGCAACCTGAGTTAGAGGAATATATAAATTTGTGAGCTATTTGCATGGAGGTGGAACATAAAGTCACAGATGTGGATAAAATTGACTAGGGGTAGAGTACTGGATGAGAGGAGGAAAGGGCTAAAGACTGAGCCTCAAGTAAGGATTCCCAGTGTCTAATGGCCAGATGTAGGAAGGTAAGCTACAAAGGAGAGAAGAGTGACCAGAAGTGTCCAAGGAGTCTGGTGTCATGGAAGCCAAGGGAGGAGAGTGCAGGAAGCGGAAAGAAGTGGTCAATAAATGCTGCTCAAAGGTCATGTAAGATGAGGATGGAAAACATTTACTGAAAATTCATACAAATGTCAAAGTCAAACATTTACTACTACCTTGAAATTGTGATTTCTATTAACTGTACTATATTTAGAAATAGAGCACAGAGCTTTTAATTCAATCTTTCCTATAAAGGACTATTAAAAAAGAATTTTTTTACTATTAAAAATAAAATGATCAAATGAAAACATTGGCTATGACAAACATACACTTTTAATTACAAAACCTACCCTGGCTCCATCTCCTGCATCTCTACTTACTCTCCCAAGTGAATCAAACAGGACAGTCTCCTCCACTGAAAAAGTTTATAATTAAAAGAATATCTTACTCAACTCAACTTTTTCCTCCCTTTAATTTTGGTTTACATATCCTCTACCAATAATCGACCCAGAAATTCCTGAAAGTATTCAAGTCCACACAATCTTTTATTAAATGACCATCACCACAAAACCCCAACGTGGGGATAACCACACTAACACCAAATAATTCAGAGTGAAAATAAATGTCCATTAAATGCAGATATCAACATGGAAATCTGCAAAGAAAATATGAGTCCTGCTTTCATTCTGCCATTCTGCACCCTTGCTCCCTTGCTCCCTGCTTCATACTGACAATTCCTTCTCAACAGAAACCAATGGCAGAAAAGCCCAGGTGTAGCAAGTAAGAACAGTAATATCTGTAGCCAGCTTCTCTCACACAACAACAAATACCCAATAAGGGTTTACAAAGGCTGGACCTTGCAAAATTTACAAAACTTACATTTAGTGAAGAATTAAAAACCACATACCTATATCAATTCCTCTTCGGGGAGTACTTCTGTCAGAGTCCTGGTGACCAATTAAATCTTCCACCCAATGAATATAGTTGAGTCTCAAAGGAACTGTGGGAATTAGTCTCTCTAAGGGAATATCAATAGAAAGTCCAAAATCTTCCCTTAGGAGAGTACAAGTCAGAGCTCTGACTGCTTCAGGGTCTTTAAAATTAAGACTGAGGGATAGAAAAAAAGAAGTAAAACTGATTAGTAAGATTTATTATGCTGTACAATCTCTATGGCAGCCAGTAAATACCAAACATCCATTTGAATTTCCTAGAACGATCACAAACAAATAGCTATGTAGAACGTTCAGCAAAGTGGCATACTCATGGGTGTTTAACACTGTCATAGCAGATGAAAGGCAGTATAATTTTCCAATTACATTTCCATACATGGGACATAGAGGTTAACACTGTCTCTGTTCAAATTCCTTCCTGATTGTCTCATTAGCTATGTGACCTTGGACAAGTTATTTAACCTCTCTGAGCCTGTTTCCTCATCAGTAAAATGGGGACAATAGTATCTACATCATAGCACTGCTGTGAGATAATCTGTGAAAGTACTTAGCATAATGCCTGGTACATAGTAACTATTTTGTAAATGCAAGCTATTTTTATTATCATTAACATCATTTGACATTAGCTTTCCTCAACAATCATTCTTAAAAGTAGAGAGCAGTATAAAAAGGTTTAAAAATGGTCGTAGGACAAAATACTTATATATAACGAAATAAATATTACAGACATCAAATTTAAAATGCAACTATTTTTAACAGCTTTAACTTACTGCCACTGAGTCAATTCCGAGTCATACCAACCCCACAGGACAGAGCAGAACTGCCCCATAGGGTTTCCAAGGAGCGGCTCGTGGATTAAAACTGCTGACCTTTGGTTAGCAGCCAAATGCTTAACCACTGTGCCACCAAGGTTCCTTGATAGATTTTCTGAGGTATAATTTACGTACCATAAAATTCACCTGTAAGTGTACAGTTCAACAGTCTCTAGTATTGTGCTTGAGTTCCTTTATGTGGCCTTTTGCCTTGGTTCTTTGGAAAAACATCTTGAGAAATTTTCCACCTAAACCCTCAGGAGTTACCTTTGCCCTAGTTTTCTACCCTAGAGGGTTTGTTACTTTGGTCCAGGTTGAATGCCATTTCCTGAGTAAGCTGTAAATAACTTGTGGTTTGATACTTTCTGTCTGGTCCTGGGCTGCAGCCCCTCCTGTGATTGGTATGGACCTTGCAGGGATTGGTCAACAGACTATGTAAATGAAGTATTCGTTGCCTACTTTGCAAATGAAGTGTCTGTGGCCTACCGAGAGGGGATTGGTCAGTTTGTGGCCCTGCTGGGAGGGGCCATGCCTTGAAATTGACAAGGAGTTGTGCATATATGCAGCCAATCCCACAGAAGTTTTCCAGATCGAAAGAAGCAGGAAGAAACAAAAGGAAGAAAGAAGAAAGAAAAACAGCAGAGAGGGGAGGCAAGGAACCTCCACAAAGAGCTGTAAGACAGGTCAAGGGGCTATAATACTGTAGGCAGAGAGAGGCCCAGCAGGGGCCCATCGGCAGAGCCAGTGGCAACAGACCTAGAGAGAGCCTTGCAGCAGAGTTGGTGGGGAAAGACGACATGGCCAAGAGGAGCCTGTCCTGAGGGGGTCGAGAGAAGGCCATACGGCCAAGAGCTGTCCTGCACTGAAGAAGGGAAACTTTCCCTACATGCTTCCTGATCAAGATCCTGAGCTTGAACCCTGTTATTTCCTCAATAAACAAGTTAACTGTAAGTATGGTCTGTGAGTTGTGCGTGTCCAATGCAACAGATTATTGAACCCAGCAGAGAAGTAGAGAGTGCTGTGGGAGAGACAGCTGGTGTTAGAATTGGTAAAAAGGTTGGAGAGTGGAGGTATGTCTGACATCCACCACACAGGAATCAGCTTTGGGCTGATCCTGGTCATTATCCCGCCCTGAGGTTAGATAGTTTCTGATGCTACTACTACTCCCAACTTTTTACAAGTATATTCACAGAGTTGTGCACCACAATCCAATTTTAGAACATTTCCATCACCCCAAAAAGAAATCTCACACCCATCTGAAGTAATTCTTTGTTTCCACCCTCAGGCCTAGGTAACTACTAATGTCCTTTTCTGACTCTACAGATTTGCCTTTTCTGGATACTTCATAAAAATGAAATCATACTATATGTGGTCTTTTGTGTGGATTCTTTTCACTTAGCACAATGTGAGGTTCATCCATGTGGTAGCATGTATCACTAGTTTGTTCCTTTTCATTGCCAAATAGTATTCTAATGTATGAATACATCACATTTTGCTTACCCATTCACCAGCTGATGGATATTTGGATTGTTTCTACTTCTTGGCTATTATGAATAATGCCACTATGAACATTCACATACAAGTCTTTTTGTAGAAATACATTTTCATTTCTCTTGTGCAGGTATCTAAAAGCAGAACTGCCAGATCATATGGTAAATTTATGTTTAGCTTTTTAAGACATTTGAGCCAATATTTTTCATGTTAAGATCATGCTAAACTGAAAATATCAATAAGAAAACAGTCCTTATTTATAAATTGGGCAATGAGGAGAAGAGAGAACAGAAAGCCAGTAGAGGGGACTGAACTGTGAAAGGCGGGAAGAGCTTTGCTCAGAATTCTGGTCTCGAGTTGTGTGGCCAGACAGCTGGCTATTCTCAAACAACTTCTGATCTGCCCAATCCTCTTTTCTGTTCCTGTAAAACTAGGGCGGTGCCATTGGACCTCCACTAACATCATAAGGTGGAAGAGAGAATCACCATTACCATCAGCCCAAAACTGATTTCTATGAGGTAGAGGGTCAGACATACCTTCTCTCTCCAACTTTTTTTTTTACCAATTCTGACACCAGCCATCCTCCCACGACACTCTCTACTTATAATTCGTTGCAATAGCCACACAGAATTCAAAGACCATAGTCAGTTACGGGGTTTACTAGGGAAGTAACAGGTTAAAATTCAGGATCAGGAATGACTCAGGATATCAGAACAGCTTCTTCTCTGGCCCTGCCCCCAGGCAGGCCCTGCCCCCAGGCAGGCCCTGCCCCCAGGCAGGCCCTGCCCCCAGGCAGGCCCTGCCCCCAGGCAGGCCCTGCCCCCAGGCAGGCCCTGCCACCAGGCCCTACTTGGGCCTGGGCCCTTGCACTTAGTCTCCAGAGGACAGGTTCCTCTTGGCCCTGGCCTCTGCCCTGCTCGGGCAAGTGTTACAAAGCTCTTTTAGCTCTGCTGATAAGCGCCCAGAGGCACTGTACTCTGCCAGCAAGCCTCTTGCCCAAAGGTGCTCAACTTTCTCGCTCTGTGGGTGAGGACACCCACTGTAGTTGCCTCACTCGGGGGGCCAGGAAGTCCACCATGCCGTCTCACCCCAGTCTCCTGATTCAGCTGCTGCCATTCCTCTGCCACTGCTTCTCACTGTCTCATGCCATCTCCCGTGTTATAGCCCTCTCTGGCTCCTGGGTCTAGGAGGTTTTCAGCGCAGTGACCCAGGATGTGCTCTACTCCCAGTTGTTCTTTCTTGGTGGTAGTGAAGTCCCCTCTCTACTTTGGGACTGATGCTCTTTTAAGCCTAGCAGGATGGGAAAACTGACCAATCCCCTTGTTAGGGTTCTATATACCTTATTTGCATGGTTCTACCCCCACAAGGGTGTCATGCACCTTACTTGCATTATTAGCAATGCTGTCCAATCTCCTTGGTGGGCCACAAGCACTTTATCTGCATAGTCTCACCCAACAATTTTGTAGGCATCACAAGACCACACATGGCTAGAAGGGCCATATTAAGTAATTCACTGCACCGTAGTTCCCTTTTTAGTCATCAAATGACCAACATTTTGAAAAGCTCAATTGCCAGACGCTTGAGTGGCAAGATAGAAAGAGTGCGATATCCACCTAGCTACTGTGGAGACTTTGGGCAGGTACCATGGACCCAAGTGCCCTCCATCACCCACAGCAATGGGAGATGGAAGACCTGGACTCTGATCTTGGCTCTGCAGCCAAATAGTCAGGAACTTAGGCAAGTCACCTCAGTTCTCAGTCCTCAGTTTCTCCATCTGTAAAATTAAGTGACTGGACACGATAATTTAAGGGTCCTTTCAGCTAAAATTCTATGACTCTATGTAGAATGCTAAGAACTATCACAATGGTAGTCACTTAAATATTTGAAGAGCAAATTACAGAGACCTGGAACAAGAGTTACTGAAAACAGATGAAATAGTCAAACAATAGTAAACATTTCTATTATTCTCCAGTCTGACCTCATAACAAATTATTTTTCTGCTATATGATGTCGAGCATACAGCAACACTATTGAACACATATGAAGGAACATACACACAGTAGTTATTAGATGACATGGCATATCTATTCTTAAAAACTGTTTGGAAAAACATAACTTTCATAGTAAAATAACTAGTGGAGTGATTAGACTTCAGGAATACAGATTTGTTATCTACACAAAAAATTACACTCTGCACTTAAATATAACAATTTCTTGTGACCTTTTAAGATTGCTTAAGGGTACTAAATTGATAGGAAAATGGGTACTAATTTATAGGGAAAAAAATGGAAAGGATTAAGAATAAAACTCTAAAGTAATATACAGCAAACAGAAGATAACTACAGTGAAATTCAAGAGATGTAACAGGAGCCTAGAAGCAATGACACTCCTAGCAATGAGCACACCTAGTGCTCACTGGTTTCCAAATACCACTGCCTACAAAAAGGAATCACAGTTCCTTGCATAAAGAGCTGTTCCAGACTTGAAGCAGGGAAAGTACAAGGTAAGTGTGGAATACTTTATTGTACCAGAAAATAACTCATGCTCAAAGAAAGATGGGGATGTCAAAAGGACACTGGACTCAACAATAAAAAGACAAATAACCCAGTTAAAAAATGAGCAAAGGACATGAACAGACACTTCACCACAGAGGACATTCAAACAGACAAAAAACACATGAAAAGATGTCCTCTGTCCTTAGCCATTAGAGATGCAAATCAAAACTACGAGTTATCATCTCACCTCTGCTAAAATGACACTGCTTTAAAAAAAAAAAATGTTGGCAAGAATGTGGGGACATTGGAACCCTTATTCACTGCTGGTGGGAATGTAAAATGGTACAACTGCGATGGAA